GTGCTTTATGTAGTTTTTAAAAATTGAGCCGTTTTGGTGCCTGGGGAGGGAAATTCCTCATGCCCCGCGGGGTCAGGGATTTTTCTGCTCCAGAGTTGAAAATTTTTTTTGAACCAAATGTAAAAACGGATATCAGAATGGGATTCGGGGTTAAATTTCATCCTTAAAAATGGTGCTTTATGTAGTTTTTAAAAATTGAGCCATTTTGGTGCCTGGGGAGGGAAATTCCTGATGCCGGGGTCAGGGATTTTTCTGCTCCAGAGCTGAAAATTTTTTTTGAGCCAAATGTAAAAACGGACATTAGAATGGGATTCGGTGTTAAATTTCATCCTTAAAAATGGTGCTTTATGTAGTTTTTAAAAATTGAGCCGTTTTGGTGTCTGGGCAAGGAAATTCCTGATGCCGGGGTCAGGAAGTTTTCTGCTCGGTAGGTGAAAATTTTTTTTTTACCGAAATGTAAAAACGGACATCAGAATGGGATTCGGTGTTAAAGTTCATGCTTAAAAATGGTGCTTTATGTAGTTTTTAAAAATTGAGCCGTTTTGGTGCCTGGGGAAGGAAATTCCTGATGTCGGGGGCAAGGGATTTTTGTGCTCCGGAGCTGAAAATTTTTTTTTGATCGAAATGTAAAAACGGACATCAGAATGGGATTCGGTGTTAAAGTTCATGCTTAAAAATGGTGCTTTATGTAGTTTACAAAAATTGAGCCGTTTTGGTTCCTGGGGAAGGAAATTCCTGATGCCGGGGTCAGGGATTTTTGTGCTCCAGAGCTGAAAATTTTTTTTGAGCCAAATGTAAAAACGGACATCTGAATGGGATTCGGTGTTAAATTTCATCCTTAAAAATTGTGCTTTATGTAGTTTTCAAAAATTGAGCCGTTTTGGTGCCTAGGGAAGGAAATTCCTGATGCCGGGGTCAGGGATTTTTCTGCTCCGGAGCTGAAAATTTTTTTTTGATCGAAATGTAATAACGGACATCAGAATGGGATTCGGTCTTAAAGTTCATGCTTAAAAATCGTGCTTTATGTAGTTTTCAAAAATTGAGCCGTTTTGGTGCCTGGGGCTGGAAATTCCTGATGCCGGGGTCAGGGATTTTTCTGCTCCGGAGCTGAAAATTTTTTTTTGATCGAAATGTAATAACGGACATCAGAATGGGATTCGGTCTTAAAGTTCATGCTTAAAAATCGTGCTTTATGTAGTTTTCAAAAATTGAGCCGTTTTGGTGCCTGGGGCTGGAAATTCCTGATGCCGGGGTCAGGGATTTTTGTGCTCCGGAGCTGAAAATTTTTTTTGGATCGAAATGTAAAAACAGACATCAGAATGGGATTCGGGGTTAAATTTCATGCTTAAAAATGGTGCTTTATATAGTTTTCAAAAATTGAGCCGTTTTGGTCCCTGGGGAAGGAAATTCCTGATGCCGGGGTCAGGGATTTTTGTGCTCCGGAGCTGAAAATTTTTTTTTGATCGAAATGTAAAAACGGACATTAGATTGTTATTCGGGGTTATATTTCATCCTTAAAAATGTTGCTTTATGTAGTTTTCAAAAATTGAGCCGTTTTGGTGCCTGGGGAAGGAAATTCCTGATGCCGGGGTCAGGGATTTTTCTGCTCCAGAGCTGAAAATTTTTTTTTGATCGAAATGTAAAAACGGATATTAGAATGGGATTCGGGGTTAAATTTCATCCTTAAAAATGGTGGTTTATGTAGTTTTCAAAAATTGAGCCGTTTTGGTGCCTGGGGAAGGAAATTCCTGATGCCGGGGTCAGGAAGTTTTCTGCTCGGTAGGTGAAAATTTTTTTTTTACCCAAATGAACAAACGGACATCATAATGATTCGGGTAAAGTTCATGCTTAAAAATGGCGCTTTATGTTAGTTTTAAAAATTGAGCCGTTTTGGTGCCCTGGGGAAGGAAATTCCTGATGCGTGGGTCAGGGATTTTTCTGCTCCAGAGCTGAAAATTTTTTTTGAACCAAATGTAAAAACGGACATCAGAATGGGATTCGGAGTTAAAGTTCAAGCTTAAAAATGGTGCTTTATGTAGTTTTTAAAAATTGAGCCGTTTTGGTGCCTGGGGAAGGAAATTCCTGATGCCGGGGTCAGGAAGTTTTCTGCTCGGTAGGTGAAAAATTTTTTTTTTACCCAAATGTAAAAACGGACATCAGAATGGGATTCGGTGTTAAAGTTCATGCTTAAAAATGGTGCTTTACGTAGTTTTCAAAAATTGAGCCGTTTTGGTGCCTGGGGAAGGAAATTCCAGATGCCGGGATCAGGGATTTTTGTGCTCCAGAGCTGAAAATTTTTTTTTGAACCAAATGTAAAAACGGACATCAGAATGGGATTCGGTGTTAAATTTCATCCTTAAAAATGGTGCTTTATGTAGTTTTTAAAAATTGAGCCGTTTTGGTGCCTGGGGAGGGAAATTCCTCATGCCCCGCGGGGTCAGGGATTTTTCTGCTCCAGAGTTGAAAATTTTTTTTGAACCAAATGTAAAAACGGATATCAGAATGGGATTCGGGGTTAAATTTCATCCTTAAAAATGGTGCTTTATGTAGTTTTTAAAAATTGAGCCGTTTTGGTGCCTGGGGAGGGAAATTCCTCATGCCCCGCGGGGTCAGGGATTTTTCTGCTCCAGAGCTGAAATTTTTTTTTGAGCCAAATGTAAAAACGGACATCAGAATGGGATTCGGTGTTAAATTTCATCCTTAAAAATGGTGCTTTATGTAGTTTTTAAAAATTGAGCCGTTTTGGTGTCTGGGCAAGGAAATTCCTGATGCCGGGGTCAGGAAGTTTTCTGCTTGGTAGGTGAAAATTTTTTTTTTACCGAAATGTAAAAACGGACATCAGAATGGGATTCGGTGTTAAAGTTCATGCTTAAAAATGGTGCTTTATGTAGTTTTTAAAAACTGAGCCGTTTTGGTGCCTGGGGAAGGAAATTCCTGATGTCGGGGGCAAGGGATTTTTGTGCTCCGGAGCTGAAAATTTTTTTTTGATCGAAATGTAAAAACGGACATCAGAATGGGATTCGGTGTTAAAGTTCATGCTTAAAAATGGTGCTTTATGTAGTTTTCAAAAATTGAGCCGTTTTGGTGCCTGGGGAAGGAAATTCCTGATGCCGGGGTCAGGGATTTTTGTGCTCCAGAGCTGAAAATTTTTTTTGAGCCAAATGTAAAAACGGACATCTGAATGGGATTCGGTGTTAAATTTCATCCTTAAAAATTGTGCTTTATGTAGTTTTCAAAAATTGAGCCGTTTTGGTGCCTAGGGAAGGAAATTCCTGATGCCGGGGTCAGGGATTTTTCTGCTCCGGAGCTGAAAATTTTTTTTTGATCGAAATGTAAAAACGGACATCAGAATGGGATTCGGTCTTAAAGTTCATGCTTAAAAATCGTGCTTTATGTAGTTTTCAAAAATTGAGCCGTTTTGGTGCCTGGGGCTGGAAATTCCTGATGCCGGGGTCAGGGATTTTTGTGCTCCGGAGCTGAAAATTTTTTTTGGATCGAAATGTAAAAACGGAGATTAGAATGGGATTCGGGGTTATATTTCATCCTTAAAAATGTTGCTTTATGTAGTTTTTAAAAATTGAGCCATTTTGGTGCCTGGGGAGGGAAATTCCTGATGCCGGGGTCAGTGAGGGGATTGTACTTTTGCTATCCCCCCATACGTGGGGCAGATCCCACAAACTGACACTAAAGAAGACTCCTGACACAGAGGCTTTCTTGGGGTGGGACTGCCCCGAACCGAAGTCCGGGAACTACTTTATTGATTACAATATGCAAATAAGCATTGATTACATGTGATACATTTGTGCCATACATATAATTTCTTGCTGCGCCATAAGCTTAAAACCACTCCCATTACTTAGTCTCAGAGCATGTCAAGAGTACATGTCATGTTTGACCTATATTGCCCACCTGGCGACACAAAACAAAACCCTGTGGTTAGTGCCTTCTCGAGCTTAGTTCTGCATAACATCCTGTTTAACTGTCATGCGGTTTGCCATTTGTGTTACGAGCTAGCGAGCTTTGCCGCAGACGTTTCCTCTAGAAAGGGCAAAGAAAGGGCAAGGAGGGGGCGAGGAGGGGGCTACAACTCCAACATCTCCCCTGTCTTTTTCTAATTAAAAGAAAAATCATCTTCTTCACTGCTAAGGGTTATGGCTAAAGGGTCCGGTACGTCCATGGTTGGCAGTGCCTTGTACCTAACCAGGTGTATGGTCCTCTTGTCCACCATACCCTCCACAGTGCTTTGTATTAGGTTTCGAAGAAGGGGAATCAGGCAGGGAAGTAAAAGGAGACCTAACAAGATTATACCAAACATGAAGGCTGCTTGCTTCCAGTTCCTAAAAATCCCGCCCAAAAATCCTCCTTCATCCACGATCCCAGTCCATTTTTGTACAGGCACATGGACCAGCTTATGGAGTTCTTTGGTCAAATCTGCAACTACCTTTCCAGTTTCATCAATTTCTAAACAACAGTTGGTCAAATTAAATTTTCCACACACTCCTCCCTCCTTAGCAAGAAGATAATCCAAGGCCAAGCGATTTTGGTAAACAGCGGTGCGCAGCTTGTCCTGAGCAGTGGCAAGAATGGTTAAAGCGGCTGAAATGCGTCGGCTGCCTAACTCAAGCACAGCCTGCAAGCGGATAATGCGATTAAGCATATATATGGGGGTCCTATAACCCCAGGACCCATCCTCAGCCCAAGTGGCAGGATCGTAGTAGGCAATGATTCTTTCGGGTGGCCATTCATCGTCCTTCCAGTTGCCTACCCGTATACCTGCATAGCCTTCCGAGGGCACATCCCTCTTTTTTCTACCCCAATTGTCATACACCGGGGCACCCAGGGTCTGTTTAGCAGTCAGGGGAAGGAGGAAAAAGGAAGGTTTGATCCACCCTAACACACAAGCCCCTGACCAATCTGGAGGCAAGTACTCGTATGCAAAGGAACCGCATACCCAATACATGCCTTGCGGTGCTGTCCAATTGAGAGAGGACCTGCGGAGATAATTGAAAAAGGTATGATTTAATAGTACAGGAGCGGACTCGTTGGTGGGGGAGACCCACTGGCCCCTTTCCCATTGTCCACGGCAAAGAAGTGTCCCAACAGGGATGGAGCCATTCCTGAAAAAGCAATTTGTTCCTACAATATTTGTAGTTAAAGTCCACACTACAGGGTCTTCCAGGTTTCTAAAAGTAAAATTAGCAAATTTTGTTTGATTGTTCAAATACTCAGGATCTGCTTCATGAACCTCCCATGGCCATTGTTCCCCCATGTTGGTACCTCCACAAACAAAACAATTTTTTATCCATCAATGCCTATGCCATAGGTTTCAATGGGAGGATGATTTTTTTCTAATTCTATAGTTACCTTGTTGCTATTTGGTTGTCGGACAAAGGAACGAACAAGGCGCTGTTTAACATTAAGGGGATTATAGCAGCCCCTGTAGCCCCCATTCGTGTGCAAACAAATTGCCCGCCAAACTGTTTTTTGGTAGGCCTCCCAAGCGATGCAGGGCTGTGGAAACTGAGAAGGCTCTAGGGGTGGGTATCTAGTGCACAAGTACTTGTGATCGTTGTTATAACCAGCAGGTCGATGCCCACAGCCACGGAAGGATTTTTTCGACATGGCACCGCAGACATCAAAGGTTATAGCCCAATTTTCGGCTTTAGTGACCACTGTGTGATTCACGTACCATAACCGAGCTGCTTGAGGCGGTCCCTTGACAATCCCAATGCCTGCCCAAATGGAGATGTTATACCGTGTGGGCAGGGCCGGGTTATGACACGTGAATGACAATCCTTTGGTGCAGGTCACATATTGAGTTTTGTTAAAAATACAAAAAGATTTCTGGGGACAGGGAGTTGGTACAATATTAGAATGAATCAGGGTGAGAACAGTTGACAGACCTTGTTTAACCTGAACGATGCATCGGTCACAACTGGCATCCACCTCTCTGCGCACTCTGTGCGAAGGAGTTGGAGTCTGGTTCCAGTTTCGATTTTCTTGATAGGTATTGTTAGCCTTGTCACCCTCTGCAAAAGCCACCCACATAGCCAAGAAAATACATATCATAAACAGTGTCAATATTACAAAATGATATACAAAATGCGAGCAGGACATTCGCGCAGTTAGCAAATCGGTAAATGTTAGACCACCTCGAATGAAGGGACATCGCGGCGGATCCTTATAGGGAGGAGGGGAGTCTTCGGAGGACCCCCGACCGTTTTCCTGGTAGGTCGGGGGGCTATCCGGAGGTCCATATTCGGGAAGTGGTGGAAAAGACAAGGGGTCTGGTTCCCCTCCGAGGTCAGGAGTGGATTCAGGCATCATGATGTGAGGGAGGATCAGGCTCCGATGCAATGGGTGGGCCCGCAGGTTTGCAAAGATAGGGTCTTACTTGCTTCCCTGGCACCCACAGTACTCGATCAGGCAGTTGGATTGCTGCGTAGCCTCGCCCCCAGGTGATGAGATCAGCCGGACCTTTCCAAGTAGGATCAGGCAACTCGCGATAATACACTGGAGGGCACAAATTTTTGATTGTCGGTGACTCTGGCGTGGCAAAGTGGCGTTGCGCTGCCGACAAAGGTGGAGTGCCTGTGAGGTTCAGGAAATTGAGAGAATAGAGTGCTCGATTTAAGGTATCTTGCAGTGAGGGGAGGCCAGGAGTTCTTTTCTCCTGTTCGAATCGTTTTAGCATGTTTTTTAGGGTCTGATTAGCACGTTCAACGATCGCTTGACCGGTAGAATTCCAAGGAATCCCAAACTTGTGGGCAATTCCCCATTTCTGACAAAAAGAGGAAAACGGCGCGCTGCTATATGCTGAGCCGTTATCCGTTTTTAACTCTTTGGGGCATCCCATCACTGCAAATGTAGGGAGACAATGATTAATTACGTGCTTCGTAGCCTCGCCCCTTTGGGGGGAGGCCATAATAAAATTTGAAAAAGTATCAATTGAAACATGTAAAAACTTCCACGGGGAAAAAGGGGGATATTGAGTGACATCCATTTGTCATAGGGAACAAGTGGCCAACCCACGTGGGTTGACTCCCATTGGTATAGCATGTGCTTGTAAACTGCAGGTGGCACATTGCTGGATGATGGCCGAAGCCTCGGCCGATGTCAATGAAAACTGTTTCATGAGGGCTTTTTTATTTTGGTGAAAGTAGCTATGACTTTCCCAGGCCGTGAGCGGAGTCACGGGAAAAAATTGATGAGACTCTTTACCCAAAGGTTCCTTTGTTAAAGGCTCCTTTGCTGCCGCATCCGCCTTTGCGTTACCTTCTGTCAGCATGCCCGGAAAGGGCTGGTGACTTCGGATGTGGGCGATAAAAAACGGTTGGGCACGGGCATGGATTAATTCTTGTAGCTGACAAAAAAGAGCCATTAGAGATGAGTCTAATGAAGGTGAAAGATAGGACTGAAAGATATTACTAACAACATGAGCAACATACAAAGAGTCAACAATTAAGTTAAAGGCAGAATCCTTAAACATAGAAAAGGCCAATACAGAAGCGGCCATTTCAGCCCTCTGGGCAGACTTGTGGCCATGGGTGCGATGGGTTTGCCAAACACCATCTTGTAAGAAAGTACAAACGCCTATGTGGGCGCTTCCATCTGCAAAAACTGTGGGGGCAGAAGGAATAGGAAAGGACACACATGGAGATTGCCATTTCACTGGGACAGTTTGGACAAGAGTCAGACGGGGGTCAGCAGGGAAATGATACTTAACCTGTCCTGGCCACTGGGCTAGAGCAGCTTGGAGTTCTTCGGATTCCCTGTACACCTGTTCCCACAGGGGAAGTCGCAGGGGAACAAAAAGAGCAACTGGCTCAGTGCCTGTTAATTGGCGGCATCGAACACGTCCTTTGAACAACAGAGAAGCATACAGGGAGAAACGAGAGGTGATAGTCTTGCGTGGAGTGTGGGGCAAATGCATCCATTCGACAATCATCAAAGGCGATGCAATTTGGACCACAACCAGCGTGGGTAGAAGAAGGGTGTTTAGAATTATAAGAGACAAAGGAACATCAGGCAAGACACGATCAACCCATTTGACAGACAACATTTGAGTGATTAATTTGAGAATTTCCAGGTGTTCAGATGTTAAAAAAATCTTGTCACCGGGAGATTTGTGACCTTGCAAGGCTGAAAAAAGAGGTGCCAATTGTGAGGTGGTTAAGCCCATATATGGTCGTGCCCAATTAAGGGTTCCCAAAAATTGCTGCATCTGAACAAGGGTAGCAGGATTGGGAAGTGTTAATTGGGGCAGTATTGGAGAGGAATTGGAGGCTATGACCTTATGGCCCAGATACAAAAATGGTTCTTTTGTTTGAATTTTTTCGGGTGCCACTGTCAGTCCATTGTTAGCCATGTGGTCTCTAAGCTCAGCGGCCACAGTGGACACAATCTCAAAACAAGCAGAAGAGGCAATTAAAATATCATCCATGTAATGATAAAATAAAAAGGTGGGATACTTCACACGAAATGGCTTCAACAAAAAGGAAATAAAATATTGGCACATTGTAGGACTGTTTATCATTCCTTGAGGCAAAACTGTCCATTCAAAACGCTCAGATGGGTATGCATTATTAAACACTGGTATGGTAAAGGCAAACAATTGGCGATCTTTGGGATCCAGAGGGATGGAAAAAAACGCATCCTTTAGATCCATGATAATTAAAGAAAAATTTTTTGGGATTAAATTTGGGTTGGGAAGTCCCAGTTGGAAGGGTCCCATAGGAGCAATCAGTCTGTTTATGGAACGCAAATCCTGTAAAAATCTCCAATTTCCAGATTTCTTTTTTATCACAAAAACAGGTGAGTTATAAGGACTAGTAGATGCAACCAGATGGCCCAATTGAAACTCCTTATTGACTAGCTGTTGTAATGCTTCCAATTTTTCTTTTGTTAGGGGCCACTGATCCACCCAAACAGGAGTGGGGTCTAAAAGAGTGAGGGATAGAGGGGTGGGGGCAGTTTTTGCCATTCCTAAAAGGTTAATGTGGCCCCAATTTGGGATAAAAGATCCCGACCCCAAAGATTAACTTGCAGGGGAAGGACGACAGGGCGAATACGTGCCTGTTTGTCGGTGTGAGAGGAAGTGACTAACAGAGGCAAGGTGCTAATTCGGGCCGTTTGGATGCCTCCGACGCCTCGGACGGCAGGGGAAGAGGTGGTGGGCCAGTCAGCAGGCCACTCAGAGGTTCTAATTACTGAAATATCTGCTCCGGTGTCTATTATGCCTGAAAAAGAACGATTATTTAACACAAAGGTAACAAAAGGCTTATCCGAATGAATAGTGGAAGTGAAAGCAAGCAATTGGTGGTCAAGAAAGTGCTTTCGGTAATTGTTAAGAGAGGGGTTGGGGGGAACAATCGGCTCCATGTCCTCATAAGCGAGGGGATCGAACTCCAGGGCCACCGGCATCACAATTGCAGCCAGGTCTTCCTTGTAGATGACTAAAGGAGCGTCAACAATGCAAATTAGAGCCAGAGAAGAAAAATCATCGGAGTCAACCAAGAAAGGGGAAGCGAAAACGCCGCGGGAGATGAGGTCTCTAGCCGGATAGCAAAGCAAGGGGACTTTTGTCGGCATAGAAACATCAGGTAAAGTAAGAGGAAGAAAATATGTAAGACCAGGTATTTGCATAGAAACAGTTTCGGCAGCAACAGCATGCATAGATGTTATAAAGGTTTCTTTTAAGTTAAATGTAGCCAAAGAATCAGCCTTGGGGAGAGGGCTGGCTGAGTGCCCCCCCACTAGTTTCCCTGGTTCTGGTTGTTATTGTTGGCAGATTGGGGAGGGGGATTCACACGACACAGGGAAGCCCAGTGATAGCCCTTTTTACAACGGGGGCACACAGTTTTCGGCTTGTTTTGATTTGAATTTGACTGATGTGCGCCGCCCCCAGGGGCACGACACTGTGCTCGAAAATGACCGGGCTTGCCACAGTTAAAACAGTTTCCATTCTTAGACGTCTCCCCTTTGATGTTTTGCAATGCCATTGCTAAAGTTTCCATGTTGTGGACATTGGTGCCGACGATTCGGCATGCTTGGATGTAATCTGCCAGTTCGGCATCAGGCTTGCTGAGGAGAGGCTGAATGATACGTCTGCAATCTTCATTGGCATTTTCATAAGCTAGTTTTTTTATAAGTTCCTTTTGTGCTATGGGATTCCGGATCTCTCTAAAAACTGCCTTCTGCAACTGATCAATGAAATCTCCATAGGACTGACTGGACCCTTGATAAATTTTTGCGAACGACCCTGCGGCAGAAGAGCCTGGGTCGTCTATCTTTGAAAAAGCATTTTGCGCTGCTAAACTAGAATGAGCAAATACAGCGCGTGACATGTTCTTTTGGATATTAGGAGAAGCATAACGTCCTTCGCCGATCAATTGTTCCAATTGCAAGTTTCCCCCGATTCTTCTAACGATGGCTTCTGCTTCCCTCTTATACTCTGATTCCCATACCACAAACTGTGAACTTGTCAAAATCATGCGACACAAATTTTTCCAATCGGATGGCAACATGTAAAAGGAGTTGGCTAGATTACTTATTAACCCTATGACATAAGAGTTTTGAATGCCATACGTATTGACAGCTTGCTTAATATCCCTAATTAACTTCATAGGGACTGGTTCGATATATGGAGCCCCATTTGTGTCAAATTCTACTGGGTAGCACATTTCATATTCATCCAATTCTAAATCGCCCGAAAGTTTAGCTCTAGCCAGCGCTTGAGCAATAGCGCCGGCAGGTGTTTCTGATGTTTTCGGAGCGGTCTGAGCCGGGGCCGTGGCTTCTACTTGTGCCACCGTTACAGGTTCTATCTGGGGAGGGTTCTGAATGCCAGATTGATATGGCGGCGGGGGGTCTGAAGCCCCGACCATGGTATTCTTGTGTATTTTTAAATATTCCATGACAATCCGCCAAGTGATCAATATTTTCGGCGGAGCCCTAGGGGACTCATGAAAATATGTTCCTAATTTAATCCATACAGATTCTTTAAGTGACCCTTCCTCGGGGTAGGCTGGGCATTGTTGATAAATATATTTTAGCAGACTGATCAGGTCTGACTTGGTGGGAACGGCCAGATTTTTCCCACCATTAAGTCGGGTCTTGGTCAATTCCCTAAGTTCGTGGAGGTGCGCAACCTGAGGCTTAGAGAATTCTGCCCCCATACTCACGAGTTTTAGGAGGGTACTTCGTTCCACGACGACCGGCCCTGAATTGCAGTAGGCGTCCTGCCGAGTGAAGTATGAGGGTACCAAGAGATGTCTAGGAGGGTACTTCGTTCTGCGACGACCGGCCCTGAGAGTTGCAACAGGACATACACGTCTAGGAGGGTGCTTCGTTCTGCGACGACCGGCCCTGAGAGTTGCAACAGGACATACACTCGACTTGCGGGTCGAATCACGTCGGGGTCACCACCTGAGGGGATTGTACTTTTGCTATCCCCCCATACGTGGGGCAGATCCCACAAACTGACACTAAAGAAGACTCCTGACACAGAGGCTTTCTTGGGGTGGGACTGCCCCGAACCGAAGTCCGGGAACTACTTTATTGATTACAATATGCAAATAAGCATTGATTACATGTGATACATTTGTGCCATACATATAATTTCTTGCTGCGCCATAAGCTTAAAACCACTCCCATTACTTAGTCTCAGAGCATGTCAAGAGTACATGTCATGTTTGACCTATATTGCCCACCTGGCGACACAAAACAAAACCCTGTGGTTAGTGCCTTCTCGAGCTTAGTTCTGCATAACATCCTGTTTAACTGTCATGCGGTTTGCCATTTGTGTTACGAGCTAGCGAGCTTTGCCGCAGACGTTTCCTCTAGAAAGGGCAAAGAAAGGGCAAGGAGGGGGCGAGGAGGGGGCTACAACTCCAACAGGTCAGGGATTTTTCTGCTCCAGAGCTGAAATTTTTTTTTGAGCCAAATGTAAAAACGGACATCAGAATGGGATTCGGTGTTAAATTTCATCCTTAAAAATGGTGCTTTATGTAGTTTTTAAAAATTGAGCCGTTTTGGTGTCTGGGCAAGGAAATTCCTGATGCCGGGGTCAGGAAGTTTTCTGCTTGGTAGGTGAAAATTTTTTTTTTACCGAAATGTAAAAACGGACATCAGAATGGGATTCGGTGTTAAAGTTCATGCTTAAAAATGGTGCTTTATGTAGTTTTTAAAAACTGAGCCGTTTTGGTGCCTGGGGAAGGAAATTCCTGATGTCGGGGGCAAGGGATTTTTGTGCTCCGGAGCTGAAAATTTTTTTTGGACCCAAATGTAAAAACGGACATTAGAATGAGATTTGGGGTTAAATTTCATCCTTAAAAATGGTGCTTTATGTAGTTTTTAAAAATTGAGCCGTTTTGGTGCCTGGGGAAGGAAATTCCTGATGCCGGGGGTCAGGGATTTTTGTGCTCCGGAGCTGAAAATTTTTTTTGAGCCAAATGTAAAAACGGACATCAGAATGGGATTCGGGGTTCAATTTCATCCTTTGCAATGGTCCTTTATGTAGTTTTTAAAAATTGAGCCGTTTTGGTGCCTGGGGAAGGAAATTCCTGATGCCGGGGTCAGGGATTTTTCTGCTCCAGAGCTGAAAATTTTTTTTGAGCCAAATGTAAAAACGGACATCAAAATGGGATTCGGTGTTAACGTTCATGCTTAAAAATGGTGCTTTATGTAGTTTTCAAAAATTGAGCCGTTTTGGTGCCTGGGGAAGGAAATTCCTGATGCCGGGGTCAGGAAGTTTTCTGCTCGGTAGGTGAAAATTTTTTTTTTACCGAAATGTAAAAACAGACATCAGAATGGGATTCAGGGTTAAATTTCATCCTTAAAAATGGTGCTTTATGTAGTTTTTAAAAATTGAGCCGTTTTGGTGCCTGGGGAAGGAAATTCCTGATGTCGGGGGCAAGGGATTTTTGTGCTCCGGAGCTGAAAATTTTTTTTTGATCGAAATGTAAAAACGGACATCAGAATGGGATTCGGTGTTAAAGTTCATGCTTAAAAATGGTGCTTTATGTAGTTTACAAAAATTGAGCCGTTTTGGTTCCTGGGGAAGGAAATTCCTGATGCCGGGGTCAGGGATTTTTGTGCTCCAGAGCTGAAAATTTTTTTTGAGCCAAATGTAAAAACGGACATCTGAATGGGATTCGGTGTTAAATTTCATCCTTAAAAATTGTGCTTTATGTAGTTTTCAAAAATTGAGCCTTTTTGGTGCCTAGGGAAGGAAATTCCTGATGCCGGGGTCAGGGATTTTTCTGCTCCGGAGCTGAAAATTTTTTTTTGATCGAAATGTAAAAACGGACATCAGAATGGGATTCGGTCTTAAAGTTCATGCTTAAAAATCGTGCTTTATGTAGTTTCAAAAATTGAGCCGTTTTGGTGCCTGGGGCTGGAAATTCCTGATGCCGGGGTCAGGGATTTTTGTGCTCCGGAGCTGAAAATTTTTTTTGGATCGAAATGTAAAAACGGACATTAGAATGGGATTCGGGGTTAAATTTCATGCTTAAAAATGGTGCTTTATATAGTTTTCAAAAATTGAGCTGTTTTGGTGTCTGGAGAAGGAAATTCCGGATGCCGGGGTCAGGGATTTTTGTGCTCCGAAGCTGAAAAATTTTTTTGAGCCAAATGTAAAAACTGACATCAGAATGGGATTCGGGGTTATATTTCATCCTTAAAAATGTTGCTTTATGTAGTTTTCAAAAATTGAGCCATTTTGGTGCCTGGGAAAGGAAATTCCTGATGCCCGGGTCAGGGATTT